AGTCACCGGTAGCCAAGCGAGGCCTTCCGCCCATGACAAGTGACCAAATTGCATATTGTGGGTTGTTAGGGGCTTAACACGTGTGCTTGTATTGATACAAGTATGTGTGTGTAGGAGGTGTGGGGGGGGGTGTACTCTCCTAGTTGTGCTTGTGGGGGTTGAGTTTTGGCTCTTTAGTCCCGCCTCTCAACTATCAATCAACTGGTATACAGATTCCTGAGCCCTACTGGGCTCTTTCACATCTACATTTGAAACTGTGTATGGAGTCAGCCTCCACCACATCGTTACCTAATGCATTCCATTTGTTAACTACTCTGACACTGAACAAATTCTTTCTAATGTCTCTGTGGCTCATTTGGGTACTTAGTTTCCACCTGTGTCCCCTGGTGCGTGTTCCACACATGCTAAGGAGTTTGGTCTCTTCGGTCCCGGTTTGGTGTGTGTTTGTGTGTGTGTGTGTGTGTGTGTGTGTGTGTGTGTGTGTGTGTGTGTGTGTGTGTGTGTGTGTGTGTGTGTGTGTGTGTGTGCTGGCAGCCGATACGGGCTGTGATTTTCCCACTGAGGCAAAAATCACATCACATCGTGAAGAACATACAGAACAAGATCCGTGCAACAAAGAACAATACGACAGACTGTAATGTTATTGCGGCAAAAGAACAAACATTGATCCAATTAGTGCTGGCTGGATAACCATTTGATTATGATATCGTTCTACTTTTATCCTAATAACTACAGCTTAGAGGTTTTGCAAGAGGATACCAATAAGAGGGAATTTAGTTACTCATCCACCTAGAGAATATAATGACTATAGCCGCTCTTGTTGAGAAAGAATATAAGAAAGACTAAGAGGGTTCCTTCAGCCTGGAATGAACCCATTACCCACAACGGGACTATAAGGTTTGAACTGCAAACAGGTGATCAAACCGAGACTGAACACCTAACAGAGGAAGTGGAATGGTTAAATGTAATATTCAAATACATTACATTTATGATTGAAGCCTTCCCAGATGCACGAATCCTGCTCATGTAGAATATTATGTGGTCATGCACATGCACAGTAGATACTAATCAATGAACTGCATTGTGTTCACCGTATTTGCACGACCCCCACCAAACAATCTAGTAGTTACGGTGCCCTGGGGATTTATGTATAAACAAGCAGTCTAATTCGGTGATGAATCAGCAGACAGCATAACGAGTCATTACACAACAGTCAGAGCTGAATGCCATGGCTGCAGCCATTGGTGAATAAACTATGTGATCTGTTAGAGTTGAATGCTCTTTAAAGAAAGCTTCATATCATCGTGAATGATAAAGATGTATGAGCCTTAGTATGTGTGTTAGTTAATTAGACTTGTTTACATAAGCTGTGGGAGAGATGTCATACTAACTGATAAATTGGCAAAGAAAAATAAAGTTCTAAATTCAGTTAAAATCTGTATTAATTATGACATGGCATCTTTATGATTACTGTAGTTTTCTTATATATGTGTGGTGTAGTTCTCTGACAGCTGACGAAGTTCTCTGACATCTGATGTAGTTCTCTGACATCTGATGTAGTTCTCTTTCATCTAAGGTAGTTCTGTTACATCTAACATAGTTCTCTTGCATCTGACGTTGCTTTGTTTTAGGCGCATATAATTAGCATTTGTAGCGTTCTCTTATTCTCTGTTCTTTTTTGCGTTTGTGGCGTTCTCCTGTTTTATTCTCTGTACCTCCAATTCCCTGTTAGCATTTATAGCGTTCTCTTGTACTATTCTCTGTATTTATTCGTGTTTGTAGCGTTCTCTTGTCCTATTTTCTGTACCTGTTGGTGTTTGTAGCGTTCTCTTGTCCTATTTTCTGTACCTGTTGGTGTGTGTAGCGTTCTCTTGTCCTATTTTCTGTACCTGTTGGTGTGTGTAGCGTTCTCTTGTCCAATTCTCTGTATTAATTCGTGTTTGTAGCGTTCTCTTGTCCTATTTTCTGTACCTGTTGGTGTGTGTAGCGTTCTCGTGTCCTATTTTCTGTACCTGTTGGTGTGTGTAGCGTTCTCTTGTCCTATTCTCTGTATTAATTCGTGTTTATAGCGTCCTCTTGTCCTATTTTCTGTACCTGTTGGTGTGTGTAGCGTTCTCTTGTCCTATTCTCTGTATTAATTCGTGTTTATAGCGTCCTCTTGTCCTATTTTCTGTACCTGTTGGTGTGTGTAGCGTTCTCTTGTCCTATTCTCTGTATTAATTCGTGTTTATAGCGTCCTCTTGTCCTATTTTCTGTACCTGTTGGTGTGTGTAGCGTTCTTTGGCATTTTTTTCTGTATCTGTTTGCGTCCTCTTCTCCTGGTTTCCTATCTTGCTGTCTTGGCTACACATCATAAACATATATGGGCAACGTCTCAGGTGTTGTGACAGCGAAAGTCTTGTCGTGTGTTGTGTCTCCATCTTCATGACTGATAGCTGTCGTCTGATTGTTATCCTTGTTGATATGTTTATGTGATGTATTATAATGTTCAACGTATTCAGTATTTCTCTTTGTATTTAATTTTATTGCGTTTGAGAGTTATTTTTAGCATTATTGTTATTTTTTTGGTGACGGGCTGCTTTTTTCCAGGGGGGAGGGGGAGGGGGGGGGGGTTTGGAGCTTAAATCCTCAATTATATGAGTTTTTAACCTCTTTTTTGGCTTTAATTTATTTGAAACAGTTGTTATTTATGTATATATATATATATATATATATATATATATATATATATATATATATATATATATATATATATATATATATATATATATATATATATATATATATATATATATATATATATATATATATATATATATATATATATATATATATATATATATATATATATATTGTTTTTTGGGGAGATGTTTTATATGGTTTAACGGAAAATCAAAAATGCTGAATTTTCACTTATTGTGAAATTTCTTCCGTACCTAAAGAACTTCGTTATCAACTTTTCTGACTTAGTAACCACTTATTCGTGAAGAACTTCGTAGCATTGAGAGAAACACTTACACCAGAGAGATAAACTTTCAGTTTGTTTTTACCAGTACTCAAACTATTGAAAGTTTCAACATATAGATATTTTACTCTTCGATCTCAAATTGAGGGAACTCTGTCTCTTTAAGTGTTCGAACTGTAATGTTCGATACGTGGGAAATACCTGTCAATAAGCTGAGCATCGCATCAGTGGATACATGGGGTGTAACTTAGCCCCTTTGGCAAATTGAATCACTCCTGAATATTGCAGTGACTTAAATGTACTGACTTCCAATTCATTTGGACTAGATTCTAACATCTTGAAAACGATTTATTTGCCCTTTCTTTCCCATTACTACCCATTTTACGTAATTTGTAAATCGGGTATTAGAGCAGTGTGAGCCGCTTAACCAGTACTTTACAAATAGATGATAGTAGGAGCTGTTATTAATGAACAGGTCAACTCCCAAAAAACTTTTAAACTTGTCGATTTTATTGTTAATTAATTTCCTATGTTATGTGCTTAATATACTTCACCCAATTCATTATAGCTTTCATAATCTGCACCAGAATTGCAACGAAATCAATAATGACTTTTGGCAGACAGAAATTATATTACAGTTGAGATTATACAGGATACAGGAAAAAAGGAACTTCTCCAATCGCCATTAAAGAATATACTTGATACTGATGCAGTATGGACAGGAATACTCGTCACTTTCTCCTATCTTTCAAGTGTGGGGACTGTTAATTATTAGTGTCTGTCTCATTTACCTCCTGAATGTTGTATTTTAAAAATGCAGATTACACTAGATCAGAGAATATTAACGGGTTCTTTAATTGTATAGATTTCAGGTTCATTTAGAATGCGAATTGCTAGTTTAAACCACATCATTTATCACGAATCCTTTTATAGTTCCAGAACAATTTAAATATATGTTTCAGAATTTTCATTCGATCAATAAATTATAAAAATGCCATATTTGTATGATCACAGACTATAAAACTCCTCGATAGTATTCAATAAGAAAAAAAAGTTAAATATTAACATAATATATGAATATATATATATATATATATATATATATATATATATATATATATATATATATATATATATATATATATATAGGGGTGGGGGGGATAAGGTAAAATTTTCGGAGATAATTTTAAATTTACCTTCATTGCAAATGCGTTTGCTCCAGCGAAATCTTGACTCCGTAATTGAAACTTTGGCGATTTGCAAGTCTCGTCATCATTATGCAAATTTAAAGGTCCTGAAAGCTTCACGTAATCTTGGAGTATCTTTACATCACATATAAGACCTAAATATATTATTAAAATCCATTTAAACCCTCAAAATCAAGTTTTACTCATAAAATCTTTTTTTTTTTACTCTTAAAATCAATTTTTACTCTTAAAATCCATTTTTATTTTATCAATTTACGCAGCAATTGACGTGCTGCGTAATCACTGAAATTCTTTTCGAACGTCAGATTAATTGACTACAAGGACTGACGTACGAAAAGAACGTCAGTCCTTGTAGTCACTTATACGCAAGTATTGATAGATAAGCAACCCGTCCTGTTAAAAATAACGTCACTTTTGGCCCGTATGCGCACTATGGCCAAATTTGGACGTAATTTGAAATGAAATCGACTCACAAAAGTGACGTTCTGTTCCGTTTTCTATTTGAGTCGTCCGGCGTACGTGTAGAGGTTATGAGAGGACACTTTAAATTAACGTTTTTCATACCGTTTTGAAACTTTATGAGAATTTCCTGCCCACCTAACCTATCAGAGGACCCTTAACTTACTGCTGTTGAAAAAAAAAAATCCCAAATTTATTTTCATTTTTTTTTTCATTTTCAAATTACGTCCAAATTCGGCCATACGGGCAAACGGCCAAAAGCGACGTTCTATTTAAGAGGACAGGTTGAGATTAGTGCTTTAGAATAGCTGAAACAGAGGAACACTTCTGTACCATAGCTGAAACAGAGGTACACTTCTGTATCATAGCTGAAACAGAGGAACACTTCTGTACCATAGCTGAAACAGAGGTACACTTCTGTACCATAGCTGAAACAGAGGTACACTTCTGTATCATAGCTGAAACAGAGGAACACTTCTGTACCATAGCTGAAACAGAGGTACACTTCTGTACCATAGCTGAAACAGAGGTACACTTCTGTATCATAGCTGAAACAGAGGAACACTTCTGTACCATAGCTGAAACAGAGGTACACTTCTGTACCATAGCTGAAACAGAGGTACACTTCTGTATCATAGCTGAAACAGAGGAACACTTCTGTACCATAGCTGAAACAGAGGTACACTTCTGTACCATAGCTGAAACAGAGGTACACTTCTGTACCATAGCTGAAACAGAGGTACACTTCTGTATCATAGCTGAAACAGAGGAACACTTCTGTACCATAGCTGAAACAGAGGTACACTTCTGTACCATAGCTGAAACAGAGGTACACTTCTGTATCATAGCTGAAACAGAGGAACACTTCTGTACCATAGCTGAAACAGAGGTACACTTCTGTACCATAGCTGAAACAGAGGTACACTTCTGTACCATAGCTGATACAGAGGTACACTTCTGTACCATAGCTGAAACAGAGGTACACTTCTTTACCATAACTGACACAGAGGTACACTTCTGTACCATAGCTGAAACAGAGGAACACTTCTGTACCATAGCTGACACAGAGGTACACTTCTGTACCATAGCTGACACAGAGGTACACTTCTGTACCATAGCTGACACAGAGGTACACTTCTGTACCATAGCTGACACAGAGGTACACTTCTGTACCATAGCTGACACAGAGGTACACTTCTGTACCATAGCTGGCCCCTGGTGTCTCTACACAGAGTTATAAGCTCTTCCACCATCACTCTCATCCTAACCCACACAAACATCTAACACATTCTAACAAGATTATAATTATAAAGAACCAGACCAAATATCATTGAAGCTTCAGAGTAACAAACAAGAGAAGGGAAGAAGCCGATGATTGGCGTGTTTGAAGGCGTTCATCTTGCCTCCAAACACTGGTACAATCTTCTCATAATACCATGTGATATTTGGAAATTTAATTGCTATGATCAGCAAATAATTGCATTTATTACCATAACACATTGTGGTCGTTCGGATATCACGAGCATGCAGATAACGTGAATTTTGTTAATACATAGCATTCGAACATGTTCGTACAGATAACTGTTCGTTGCTCCGAATTTGGTGGTCGTTCGAACACCGAGACGATATAGGAGTGAGTTTTATATGTTGTGAGAACACACACACACACGTGCGCCACGAGAGGGGGTGCGGCTATGAAGAGAACTATTCAGTAGCATGTTCTTTAATTACTTCCAACAAAATGATCCATCACTTAGTAGTCGGAGCGCCTATAGCTAATTAACTTCACCTGGTGAAGCCAGGATGAATCAAATCATTTTTTAAGACTTCTTGAGACCTCAATTTCGTTCCTCACGAAGACTCGCCTAACAATCTTCCCCTCATATGGGACTATTTTTTTTCCTATATCTTATCAGATGAGGTCTAAATGCTGTTTCCTAGTTTAACGCTATGTTGGCCAGCCAATGAATTCATCCACCCCAGGTTGAGGGAAACATGGCCGACGACCACACAAACGTACAGCATCGCCCCTCTGTTGCAATCAACATTTCTTACTGTATCTTGCATGCAATCACTGCCTCTAACTGCGGCAAGGTGTGGCTCCTTGGGAGAGCAACAGCCCCAGCGTCTACCGGACGTTGAGTCGAGAATTCCTACTTAGTGGCGGCGATTCGCGTCCGTAATGGTTAGCTGGTGTCGGGCCACTCTTGTTTTGAACCTGCCAATCAGTGCCTAATTACACTTGCTCTTATCACGACGGAGATCCAGTCTTGTGAACCATGCCTAGGCATTCGTACGGACAGGTTCATTAAGTTCACTAATTACTGAAACTCCTAGAGTACTCCTGAAGTTAAATTGGGCCACATCAAGACCTGTGAGAGAAAATATCTGATACCAATTGTATATATATACCAGGATATACCTGATTTATATATCTATATATATATATATATATATATATATATATATATATATATATATATATATATATATATGTATATAAATATATATATATATATATATATATATATATATATATATATATATATATATATATATATATATATATATATAATATTGGTGGTATTGGTGGTAATTCTGCACCATATTCGTGGACAAAGACTTGAAATTATTGCTGAAAGGTTTAGTTTGCAAATTTCCATTTACTTCGATGCCCGGAGGTAATTGACACTCATAATTTCATCAGATACTTGCATGTTAATAGAGTCAATTTGGTATTGGGAATGTAAAGAATAAAGTGAGGGGGAAGTCAGGGTATTATTTATGATCAATTAATGTCTCTTATTACCGCATAAAGCAATATGACAGCTACTGACTGCTGGACGTCTAGACTAAAAACACGAATAGATAACGAAGCGAATTATTGAACTTGTTTATTGATTGGACGGTTTGATACATTTGTGATGATAGCGATGTATAATTACTAGATCCTGACGGTGTATTACCATCGCAAATGATGAGACAGCTACACCGGTTAATATCGCGAGAGATGAGTTCTTTTAACAGAGAAAATAAACCTGTTTTGTCCAAAAAAAGAAAAAATTCCAAGGAGGAACAAGAGTTAATTCTGTTCAGTTCAGAGTTCTCGTGTTACCATGGGATTTTTTTCTATTTCGTCACAGGTACAAATAAACGTTGACCTGGGAGAAAAAAAAATATGGTTCCTCCTGGAATTTTTTTCCCCAGGAGGAACTAGGTTCGTCATGTAGTAATACAAATTATATAACGATCCGGAGCGAGTTTGGCATGTCTTACCTGGTGGTAAACTGTGTCTTTTTTCCCCCAGTGGCAACAAGATCTCCGTTGTCTCATGTAGAACTGCGTCTGTTTGTCCCAGGTGAGACTAGATGTTCATTGTATTTTAGTTGAATTGGGTACATTTTAACTAAAATAAACTGGACATGTTTGTTCAGGATTGAACTTTGAATAGTCTATTTTCCCCAGGATAAATAGGGCCTTTTTTTGGTGAGTTTCCCCTTGAAAGTGACTTGAGAAGTTTCTAATTATTAGTGGAAAACATTACTTTTTAAGCAACCAGGAACTTGTTGCACGAAGTATAGACAAATACTCCTTTTTCTTCCATATGATCATCAGAGGAATATTCCTCTGGACTGGTGGCTACTTTGGCCTGACCTTCCTGTTCGTGCCAATAATGGTATTCAAATCAAATCAAATCTAAAAATTTATTCATAAATGGCTGAACATTTACAATTTCCAACGTTTACGTGAAAATGCCATTAATTACATGAGCCACCATAACACGTAGAGACTGTCATTATAAGAACCAGAAATGTTATTTATATCACCTTATGCAAATCGTCACAGTACTGGTTGGATTAAACAGGTGTATAACAGCCTAAATCAAACTTACTTTTTTTCGGGGCCATAAAGTGAGTAGCAATTAGCTTTTACCTGCTCTCTCTCCCAACACTCGTCGTCGGAGATACCGGGACCAGGTTCGAACCCTGTTCACCCATTTATATAATTGAGAATCTAGTTGTGAACAGTTAGACGGCTTGTGTTTCAGGGGGGAAAACTATTTGGCTCAGGCTTAAACTCAGCTGTGAGAATGGAGAGTTCAAAGCACGTTTATAGGAGTTAGAAGTCATCAATTCTTGTACCCTCCATTGCATGATTTAAATTCTGTAAACCCAAGCGTAGTGGCGTACTCATCTAGTTGTGATTGCGGGGGTTGAGCTCTGGCTCTTTGGTCCCGCCTGCCGGGGCGTGAGCTTGCAGTCGTTCTGAAATGGTATGGTTTCATAATTTATTTATAAATTCTCTTTTAACATTGATATGCTGTCTGCCTCTTTAGGAGACATGTACACACAAGACTCCAGGAATCGTTCTCGTTGTGAAGATAGAGTTGTATCTCATGGATACTATATTGTGAACAGAGAGTATCGCATAATATCTCATGTTTCAATATTCCTTAATTTCAAATCGGCAAACATAACCCACCTTATGTATAACAGACCTGGCTATGTAACAGGCTCATCGGTGATGCTAGAAGTAGATAATCAATATCACTAATGCCGAAAATATGCACTTGAAATGCGCTATGCATGCACAGTAAGGTTACACAACTTTCCTATGGATAATGTACTGTAAAGCCCCCATTTTCGCGGAAATAACAACCAATTATGACAAATGCTTGAAATCCAAAAGACTTAGAACAGTAAATAAAGGGAAGAGCGGATCATCAGACTCACGACTTAAAGTCCATGCATGATTGAGTACTCCTTTTAGCAGAGCTGTATAAAGCACACAAAATTGCTGATTTCCTAAATGTATTTATCAACTCCAGCCACGAGTTTAGAGAACTAAACAGCTGGAAAACCAGTACTGGGAAAAACTTTTGCAAGGCATCAATCATGCAACATTTTCACCTCAAACGTGGTTAAAAATGAAAGCCATCTCATGCCCAAACATTTCACAACTTGCTTAATACCACACACTCCTCAAACTTACTCTGACATGCTATTTGGACCATATGTAGGTACTGCTAGTATTGATAACCAGTCGATTAACGCACATGCCATCTTGCAGGTATTTTAAATTAGAAGTTCATTTCCTCAGAGGCAACAGACGTCATCAAATAGAGACACAGTTTATGTCTCATTCGTTCTCATCCGGACGTTCTCATCGTTTGTGTCTCATCCGGACGTTCTCATCGTTTGTGTCTCATCCAGACGTTCATTATATACTGAAGAAAGCTCTCCTCAACGCTTCAAGTAACCTACAGCCTGAGGAACTGTCCTCGAATCTATTGATACATCTCTTTACATCGTGGTTAAGTATGGAGCTAAGTGCGTGACCGACACCCACGTCTCTCATCTCTTGTTTCACCTAACTACCTCAACCGCCAAGTGTGGTTAATTATAATAGTTCTCAGGTGTCGGAAAATTTAGCTGAAAATTTACTGGACTCGCTCCTAAACGCGAGTCCAGTAAATTAAACGCTCCTATTTTAAACAATTGTGTTAATTGGAAAGCTAGTGCACGAATCACTGAGCTGATTTTAATTTGAGATAAGATGTGAGGAGGGAACATCCGCTCCTTGTTCATTGGTCAGAACCAAAACACCTTTACGACAGTGTGATAAAGTAGTTGGTAATGCAAGACTGTGTTAACGTTACCTGTGACTAGCGGGTGTTGGTAACATGGGGGTGACTGTGTTGTTTCAAGCGAAGGTTTCACACATACACGAATGAATTTGAGTGGATATAAATGTGCCACCTTGTATGGGCCAATAGGCCTCCTGCAGTCTGATTCATTCTTTTGTTCTTAAGGTTTTGGGTGTGAAGCACAAGGAAAAGGAATCGAATCAAACGCTCCGATAATATTTCACTGAATATCCAGTCATTGGATTTCTAACATTGCTAGAATGACGTTCCTAAAACTGAGTTATCACCTTTTAATGCTGATATTCTTGTTGCTTACACAAGGAAATCACAAGAAATTGATACATCTACGATAAAACCATTGGAGTAAGACGGGGGATCGAACTGGCATTCTGGGTACACCCAGACGCGCACCATACCTATACGGATCTGGGGTAACCCAGGACGCTGGTTCGAATCCCGTCCTGCTCCAATGGTTTTATCATTCATGTTGCTTATTCTCACGTGCGCCCACACACCTCTCGTCTGTGTTAGTTATACCCCCCCGCCCACACCTTCCTTCATCCCACATCTCTCATCATCCACTACCCACACCC